CAGTTTTGGATATGCCCTTGACCTCCATGTCTTGACCGTCTTCATGACCGTGAACTCAAGGTTGTGTCCGCAAACTTGAAGAAGCAACGACAAAATGAACTAAAGGTATTGCGGTCTGAGTTGCGGCCAATGAGAGTTTCGGCCATGAAAAAGATAACGACCGTGACTTCTAGGTAACGGCCGTGATCTCATGATCATGGCCTCAATCTTGTTACTTGAAGAAAAAAATCAAGGAACAACATTTCGAGCAAATTATTGACATTTTACACGTCAAGGCCTATGATACTCCCTCAAATATGCATGTGACCGTCAGGTCACGCTTAGGGAGGATGTGACATGTATAATGTCATAAATCAGCTTGTCCCAATAACTCGAGTTGTAGGGAGAAGGTTATGTTGGATCTTAGACCACTCTCTAACACGCCTCCTCAAACGAAAGCCGACTCATGGGCTTGAAGTTTGCACAGGCTCGCCATACCATGTGCTTGAAGAAAACTGTTAATATTGGAGGTCGTGGAGATTCGAACACACGACCACTAGGCCAAACCAGCTCTGATACCATGTCATAAACCAGTTGGTCCCAATAACTCGGAGATGCACAGTCAACAGTGCAATTAGAAGTCCCCAAAGTCAACAATGCAGTCATCAGTCTCCAGTCTCGTCCAAGACGTCAAGGAATTTCGCCATGCTTAGTTCACTGTCAAAAAAACTAGTTCAAGCATGGAGTAGTTTCATCATTTGTCTACATCTCCCACAAGCAAACAAAGTCACAGCCTGTTGGATCGTGCTTGTCAGCAAGAGGTTGTTTGAGTGTTGTTTAGTTTCAAGCTCAACATTCTTGTCATTCATGTCTTCGCTTGAGGGGGATTGTTGTGGATATTAATTAGTTAGTCACCAAGTAATTAATTCCTTGTCCTCCAAGTCCCTTGTTTTCTTGTCCTTGTAAAAGAAGGAAACTTGATTGTCATTAGGATTTTAACCCTAGTCCATCTCTATATAAGACTTAGCTACGAACCTGTCGTAAGTAAGCCGTCACAATGTAGTCCCTAACAAATCGACAGTCGTGAGCTCTTTTGAGCTCACCGTGGATTAGTCTCGTTCAATCAAGAACGATGATACCACATAAAATCTTTTGTCTCGTGTGTTCTTTCAATTCCGCATCATCAAATTCTACATATAAGGAGGTCGTGACCTGCACCAAATTTCTTATAAATACCCATTTTCTGCAATTGATGAAGGAGATCCACTTTAGAATGAGAAATTAAGGGTTTTTTTTGGGTAGTTCTTACTAACAGAAACACCTTGAGAGCTTGAGAAGGAGGAGTCCATCCAAGAATCAAGGAGAAGGATGTAAATCAAGGAGCATATGATGATTTCAAGTTATTCTTCTCTCTCTAGTTTGTACTTCTTCTCTCTATATGAATTAAACCCCTAAGTTTGTTTAGGGGAAATGAATCCTAGTCGTAGTTAGGTGATGTTGATTGAAAGATATTTTGGTTTGGATGCTTGGTATGGTGCATTGCATGTTTAGCCCTAGGTTTAGCTCTGTGGGTGTATGTTGAGAGCTTACATAGAAGGTTAGATGATCTAGAGTCCTAGCTAGCGGATGAGGTGACCGTCTCTTTCTGGCTAGGAGCTCACCTAATTGATGCTCGTCAGGAAAGTGCGTGACCATCGACTTACTAAACCTGTGTGCGGATGGGTAGAACTCATTTAGAGGAGGTAGAGCTTACCCCCTAGTTTTGGAAACCACGCGTGGTGACGTTGGGATAGAGGATCCGATTATAAGAGGGATCGATGGCTTGACCATTGCATTGATTCCCAGTTAAGTGACCTCCGCACCACAAATATCCATAAACTTCAACCGACTACCTATCTTATTACTAGGAGGACTCAAACCTCGACAACCATCTCACCTTTAGCGACCTCCCAACCACTTGGTTGGTTGTTTAGTTAGTTAGGTTAATGTTCTTATTTAATGGAATCAACGCAATGCCACTGAGCAGAGTTCGTGTTAATGTTGTCGTTTCCAAGATCGAGGATGAGATTGACCTACTACCACAGCGTGGGAGGGATAATGTTGACAAAGTTTATGTGCCTCTTATTAGGGGTGGCTATTTGGACCGGGACCGGATTAAAAACCGGAAACCGGACCGTATAACCCGGACCGAGACCGGACCAGGACCGGATAGTAAACAATCCAATCCAATTTTTGGGCTTAGATTTGAGGTAAAAAACCGGATAAAGACCGGATAAGAGAGCTCAACACCCAAAACTTAAGGGTAATTTGCATAAACGGTCACAAACCTTTGCACTTAGTACAAAACTTAACCAACTCCTCACCCTTTAAGGTCTTAGGCCACTCAAATCCCACAATCTCAATGTAAAATCAAGACCGAATTGGGACCGGACCGGATCAAAACCGGACCGGATCAAGACCGGACTGTATCCAATCCAATCTTCGGTCCTTATATTTTCAAAAAGACCGGACTGGACCGGATCAATTTGGGTCAATTTAACCGGACCGTATAGCCACCCTACCTCTTATGAACTATTAAGGATTGGTTCCCCATCTTGGTTCCAAGGGTTAGACTTGGTAGAACGACACTTTCTAGGGAATGAAGAAAATATTTTCTAGGTTTAGAATCGGTGTTTCGGAAGGATTTTTATTTCTCGACGAGAACGCTTGGTTGGCTCCAATTTTTCCAGCCACTATGAGAGGTCTTATGGGTTGGCCTTGATGAGAGAGCCACATCAATAAAATTTGGGTTCAGTGCCTCGATAGAGAAAGGAAATTTGGATGAGTTGGTGTGTTGCTCTACTCTGACCGATCTCAGTCGGTTAACTTGCAAAGCAACACATAATGAGGGTTGGAGGTTCTATATTTATAAGAATATGGAAAATCGTAGGGTTGACGATCTAGTCGATGGGGAAAATCCTTGTAGGAATAGAAGTGTGTCGCCCATAACAAAGGTTGAAGGCTCAGTATTTATAGGAAGATGGAAAGCTATAAGTTTCCCGCGTGCCGAATCGCAATCTTTGTCGCCCATAACAAGGGTTGAAGGCTCAGTATTTATAGGAAGATGGAAAGCTATAAGTTTCCCGCGTGCCGAATCGCAATTGACTGAATATGAGTCATAAAAACGATCCAAGAATAATGAGATTGTCCATGTACTAATGAATTTTGGTGGACAAATATATATTGTGGTCTTCTCCTTGTATATGATATTATACACACTAGATTAAAGTCTAACCAATTTTTTTTCTTTTTTCTATTAAGTATTTAAAATCGTTATAAATTTTTTATAAACCGGAAGTTTGGATCATCTGATTTGAATTGTTAACCACCAGAACTGGTGGTGACTGGCTGAGTAAAGAATCACGTAATTTCATGCTGGTCGGACCAGATTTCTATCTAGTCCAATTATTTCATTCAATACTTCGTACACAAAATGCTACAGTTTGAGGCAGTCTAGAATAGATTTTGGTGTCCAAGTTTGGTTATTTTCAATCTAACTGGTAGGTTCAATTCATTTTTAACAATAATATGGTTACTTGGTGGTTAATCGATTTGCAATTAACTAGATAAATAGTCACTTATGTTTGAAAGACAATATTCTGTATGCATGATAATTCTATGAATTGATAAATGAGATTTATATTTTCTCAAGTTAAAATAAATAATATATTTTGTAAAAATTATCAGACCAAGCAAGTAGAAAATGATCTAGTTTGAGGGTAGGCGGGATGGGATTAGGTGCTAATCCTTATAGGGGTTAGCACCGTGATAACTAGCAAAAAACACTACTAAAAATAACGAAATCACTACGAATTATTATAAAATCAATACAACATCTAAGCTAAATCACTACTAATTCAAACTAGTAGTAGTTTTTCCCTTGGTTAGGACGGTGCTAACTATTGTACAATTAGCACCGTAACTCCTCCCAGGGTAGGCAGATCGGATTTATGTACAGGCTTTGTAATTTTTCGTAAGACCTTTGGGTCTTGTTGTAACAAAATTATGACTAACAAAAATCTAAACTGATATGAAACCAATTAGGAAATAGGTCATTTGTAATTTTGAAGAAAAATTATAGTGGCATATTATAATTCTAAAAATCAATACTAATTATAGATTTATACTTTCCCTAACTAAAAATAAACGCAAAATTCAATGTAGCCTACTTGTTTATGATATTCTATCGCACTTAAATTAAAATATGCACATTCAAGTCCCACCTAAAGTATTCACATGTTTCTATTAAGTAATAACAAATGCAATAGAAAATGACCTAATTTCACGCTGACCGGACCGAATTTACATTTGGGTTCAATTATTTCGGCCCGACCGGTTTCAACCCCACAACCTTTTTTTCCCTATAACAATCGAAGTCCCATTTTTCATCCCCCATACTCCCCATACACAAACACAAAGCTTCAGCAACAGCTGAAACAGATAACTCAAATTGGGCTTCTTTGTTAGCAATACGCAAAGGAAATTGTCAAAGCCGTACCAAAATGTGCGTTTTACAGAACATTCAAATTCAAACGCAAGACCATAATCCCCCTACTTACACAACCCGATCGGGACGAGGAAACAAAAACGATAAAGAGTTCGGCCGTTCCAAGGGATCCCCATGACCATAAAAAAACTCAGCGCAGCAGGAGTCAGGGCAAGGCCGAAAAAAAAAAAGAGTATATATTTTAGCCGGCAGCCGTCGCTTTCCGGTACCAACAAACTCCCTCTCCTAACGAAAGTGCCGCCGCGTGTTCCCTCCCCCTGACGATGAATCCCATCCCCTTACGCTGACATGGCACGACATGTGGGCCCGCCCCTGTCGGCTCCTTGTTACGTCCACTGGGCCCAGCCTGCCCCCTCTCCTCTCGACACCCCACGGCCCACATGTAAATGTTTTTTACCTCCCGGTCCACTTGTCCCACGTGGATGGATGACGTGGCCCGCTGCTATAAATACAAGTGCCCACCCTCCTCCTCCCTTTCACCTCACAATCTCACACCACCACCGCTTCTCCAAACCCCCCAAAGCAAAAAAAAATTCTCTCCTTCTTCTTCTTCTTATTCGTCTGCAACACTTCTTTTTTGTTGGGAATGGCCGTCGATTCAACTACGCCGTCGGCGCTGGGCCCACCGGCGTGCGAGAAAGACAGGAAGGCGCTCGAGTTCATCGAGGAGATGACGAGGAATGCCGACTCCGTGCAGGAGCGCGTCCTCGGCGAGATTCTCCGGAGGAACTCCGACACCGAGTATCTCCGCCGGTTCTGCCTCCACGGCGCCACCGACAGGGAGACGTTCAAGTCGAAGGTCCCCGTCGTCACTTACGAGGACCTCCTGCCGGAGATCCAGCGTATTGCCAACGGCGACCGCTCGCCCATCCTCTCCTCCCACCCCATCTCCGAGTTCCTCACCAGGTAATTAATTATTAATCAATCAATAATTACAATTAAATATATAATCGTATTTAATGAGAGGTTAAATGGATAATTAATTAATTTGATTCATTGTATATTAATGAATTCGCAGCTCCGGAACTTCAGCTGGGGAACGGAAATTGATGCCAGCTATTGAAGAGGATTTGGACCGTCGCCAGCTTCTCTACAGCCTTCTCACTCCCGTCATGAACCTGTACGTATAGTTTTCACTACTTCATTATTATCTCCTATTTTGTTTTCCCAAATTTCCACCATATAACAAAATTATACATAATAATAATAATTAATAAACCATATATATATATAGCTATGTCCCGGGACTGGACAAAGGCAAGGCGCTCTACTTCTACTTCATCAAGACCGAGTCAAAGACCCCGGGCGGCCTGCTGGCCCGACCGGTTCTAACCAGCTACTACAAGAGCGACCACTTCAAGAACCGGCCCCACGACCCGTACAACGTCATCACCAGCCCCACGGAGGCAATCCTCTGCGTCGACTCCTACCAGAGCATGTACACCCAGATGCTCTGCGGCCTCATCATGCGCCGCGACGTCCTCCGAGTCGGCGCCGTCTTCGCCTCCGGCCTCCTCAAGGCCATCCGGTTCCTCCAGCTGAACTGGGAGCAGCTCGCCCGAGACATCCGGACCGGCTCGCTCAACCCCAAGGTGACCGACCCGGCCATCCGAAACTCCATGACCAAAACCCTAACCCCGAACCCGGAGCTGGCCGATTTCATCGCCGAGTCATGCTCGGATACCAACTGGGAAGGGATCGTCACCCGAATCTGGCCCAACACGAAATACCTCGACGTCATCGTGACGGGAGCCATGGCTCAGTACATTCCGACCCTTGAGTACTACAGCGGTAATTTACCGATGGCCTGCACCATGTACGCTTCCTCGGAGAGCTACTTCGGTCTCAACCTGGAGCCGATGGTCAAACCGTCGGAGGTGACGTATACTTTGATGCCCAACATGTGCTACTTCGAGTTCATGCCACACGTGGATGATGACGTGGAGTCGGAGGAGCAGAAGAAGAAGCAGCTGGTGGAGCTGGCTGACGTGGAGGTGGGGAAGGAGTACGAGCTGATCATCACTACCTACGCTGGGCTGTGCCGGTACAAAGTTGGGGACATCCTGCGGGTGACCGGGTTCCACAACGCGGCCCCGCAGTTCCGGTTCGTCCGGAGGAAGAACGTCCTGCTCAGCATCGACTCGGACAAGACGGACGAGTCGGAGCTGCAGGCCGCGGTGGAGAGCGCGTCGGAGCTGCTGCTGAAGGAGTACGACACGAGAGTGGTTGAGTACACGAGCTACGCGGATACAAACACAATCCCGGGCCACTACGTGGTGTTCTGGGAGATGATGACGGCGAGCGGGAAGTTGCCGACGGAGGAGGTGATGGAGAGTTGCTGCCTGGCGATGGAGGAGAAGCTGAACTCGGTGTACAGGCAAGGTCGGGTGATCGACTCGATCGGCCCGCTGGAGATCAGGGTGGTCCAGGGCGGGACGTTCGAGGAGCTGATGGACTACGCGATCTCCAGGGGCGCGTCGATCAATCAGTACAAGGTTCCGAGGTGCGTGAGCTTCACGCCCATCATGGAGCTGCTGGACGCGAGGGTTGTGTCCAAGCATTTCAGCCCGTCGGTCCCGCGATGGTCGCCGGAAAGACGGGGGTGAATGGAGTGAAAACGGCGGAGCAGGCACTGGCCGGCGATAAATTAATATAATAATAAAGTTATGAGATTGACAAGGGTAAAGATGTTAGCTGATATAGCTAAGCTGGTTGCTGCTGTTTCTTCTTGTTCTTTTATCTTTTGTTTTTGACTGTAGCTTTTGAAGGTGCCACCTTTTTCTTTCTTTCTATGCGTATGTCTGCGTCTGTGTAATATCAATATGTAGCTAGTTAATTAGTATGATGATATAACAGTAATAATAAAAGTATGTTCTTGCTGTAAAGAAAAAGTGTGTGTGTTTTTTTTACTGCGCCCATTCTTTTACTAATGTTATGGTACTGTCTGCATGTGGGACTTGACAATGTTCTCCTTTCTTTCCCTTTTAGCTGCAACCTGCAATAAATGAACTTTCTTCTTTTGAGTTTGGAGTTATGGGTACCAAAGATGTTAAGAGCTGTCAGTCCCTCCCCTTCAATTTGTGGTTCATTCTGTTTCAAGTCGCCAATTTTGGAGGGTTATTTTCCACGAAGGAGCGCGATGCATTCAATGTTACTACAATCATGAAAAAATCGCATCAATTATTGTAGAGAATTTTCGTGAGCCCTAATGACATCAAGAGCGTGAATTGTAGATGCTGAATTCGAGTTTGGATATATTTCTATTCTTCATCTCCCTTATAAGAACTTGGTAATACTTTTATTAATCAAAATTAGGGGTTACATCATCAAACTTCTACTAGTCAATCAGAAACACCAATGACGACTTCACTCAAATTACTCATTCCATCTTGTTCGCAAGTTTGTCATTATATGCGCAGCTTCATTACCCTAACCAAAAAACAAACATACACTCCACATTGATTGATATATGAATGATTGCCATGGCTAGGTTTAATATTAGAGTAGGTATCAGATTATTATTGTTGCCCTCTCCAATTCTATTATATACTGGTAGTTGGATCTTCCAAATTTTGTTTTTTTATAGATTTGATGTTGGACATTAAGATCAAGTTGAAGATAATTTAGATGTTTTAGTGGCTCATCACGCATACAAACTTATTTTGTTTTTTGTCTCTCAAAATTATTTTAATTATTCATACGTCGTTTTCGCTGTGTTTTATTGCAGATATAGATGATAACTTATATATAATGGGGGGATCAGATTGTTGTTGCAATACGCTTCGTGATCATTTCATTGTAAATATTGAAAGGAAATGAGAGAGATGTTTAATATACATTTAATAATTCATCTATTTTCACAATGAAGAATAATCAAATGTATAAGATAGATCATACATACTATCATCCCATCAACTATACTTCAGAGAGTTTGTACGATAAAAAAAACTTGTATGAGCAAGATTAATAATATAGTCTATTTACAAATAGGTAGGGATATATATTTATTAATTATTATTTGCTTTGTATAGGCGAAGTTGGTAGTGGTTGTAATATGTAGGTCTCCGTGTAATTGGTTTGGAAGTTTGTTGTAGGTTGTTAGTGAGGGTAGTGGACTGACTAGCTACTATACCATTCTCAGGCATTCTAATTATTGTTAATTAAGTAATAATGTTGTTGTCTGTTGGGCTCTGAATTTCAAAAGGGTGTTGATTAATTATGAATATAACGAACGACTGGTCTATCAGATGCTCCACATATATTAGATATGTGCCCACTTCATTGTGGAGACCATTCTGATTATAAAGAATTGTTTGTACCATCTAGTTCGAGGCATGAACAATAATGATTTGTTGGTGTGGGTTGACTCACGATCCGTTCGTCCGATCACGTCAGGAGGGAAGAAACCTGTAAAAGAGCCGGGGATGCCCCCGGATTGTGCTCCGACGATCAAGTTAGTTTCTGTTTAAGGTGAGAGTTGAGAGAACAATGTAGAGAGATAAAGGGTAGGGAGATGGTGGAAAGTGAGAAGTGAGGAGAGAGAAGAAGTCCCTTCCCTTGGAGGGTTTCATACCTTTATATACTCGTAGCGAGTTTCGAGCGTCATACGTTATCAATTGGACGCGCTATTACTTAGTCTGTGCGCGGAGTATCTTAGTAACACCCCCAACAAGAACATATATATATATAATATAATATAAATTGGGCATCTATACTAAACCCATGTCCATTTACATTTACAGTATGGAAGAAATACTCATACCCGACCCGAATGTATATATATTTCATCCATACTCAGTCCATAATCAATGTGTTAAATTACTTGAATTTGGTGAAAATTATCTGAGCATTTTTTTTTATAAGGGTGAAAAAATTACCCGAGCAATTGCACCTTTATTAACACAGGAAGACGAAACACGTTGGGAAGCATCGATCTAATTAATGCATGTTCTAATTCGGTATGCTGCCTTCAGTTGCGTTTTATTTTGACTTCTACGTGAATTGCCATAATTAACCAAATCACGCATCCTTGATATCCCTTGTGATTTTACAAGCAACGTGAAATATCTAACACACGCAACGCACCTCAGATTTTATTTTTAGGGAAAGAAAAGCCAGAGGAAGCCCCAAGCCATCTGCTTTTTGCGATTTGTAGTTCATTTTGATGGGAACGCCAATTATTTGTTGGTACCTGTTCTTGACTTTGCTTATCGCCAATTATGTTGTAGAATCTAATAATTGATCCACTTCTTTTCTTATTCAAACAGTGGCGTTAAGAAATGAGATTAGATGGGGTGTATATCATTTGGTCTTCTTTGCGAGCAATATATAGGTTTGAAACACCTTCATCCCGCGCTACTCGCGTACATCATTCGATATCATTGCATGATAAATCACATTACCGCCTTAGTGCAAGTAATATCAAACAAATAGTTAGAACAAACACTACCCACACTCCCTTCCCACTACACTAACAAACCAACCTATAAAGTCAATAGAAGCTAATTAATGCTAATCGAGACAACAATAGAATTTTTCGTGCCACTCTATGGACAGCTCAATTGGCAGTCTGTGGAACCGCTCTTAACTCTATACAAAGAGACAAAGATCCGAGGATAAGCCTACAATCGATCTCTAAGCAGAGGGCCACCCACGGAATCCTCCACTGCACCATTGATGATGACCCGAGGCAAACTCTTAGAAGCTGCAAGCGAGATCGTATCCCTAGTTGCATGGAGCTCTGCAAGATACGAGTATGAAATTCCTTGATGCTGGAAACCCAAGGCAAGCAGAACATTTCGGACCCATACGAGCAAACAGAGGCTTGAACAACCGCATCAAAATTGATCTTCAGATAATCTTCAGGAGGGCATTCCCAAGGTTGGCTTGAAGAGGCAGGTACACGAGGCTGAACAGACGGGGCAGGAAGTAAGGAGGAGAATACTTCACGAACTTGATAGGAGAACTGACGGGCAAGCGAACGGACATGAGGCTTGGTATTTTCAAATACCACTTTATTTTTTTATTTCCATATTCTCCACAAGAGACATACGATTTGGAGAATATGGGTTTGGTACTGCTTTAAAAGCATAACTTGACGCCACCACATACTAATATTAGGTATATAGTCTGTCTAATATTATTTTTCTTATTTGTTTTCCCACATCAAGAGTTTCTATGTATACCTATTGTTCCCATATGAGATATCTAGGGGGGAAACAAATAAAAAAATACGAAAGCTTCTGAAGCTCCTGGAATTTGACTGGAAATTAAATTAGAAAAATATTTCCAGGATGAGCTCCTCCCTGCCGCCTACCCACAAAACTAATTAACGTCATCCAATGCTGGGAATTGACTGCAATAACATGGAACACGATGATCATCATAATAAATTAATAATAAGCCGCTTCCACTTCCAATTGGTTAAAACGTAAACATCAGAAACAAAAGTTGGATCGGGAGATAATTAAAAAAAATTAATGGTATAATTAAAACAATTGCTTTTGGTTTAATTTCATTTATTATTGTTTATTGTTTTTGTGGGGGTGAACGGTACCACCACCACTGTCTCTTAAAGGTGAGTCCATGCATCTTTACTCAAAAGTGAGAAAAATCTGAGACTCCTGTTGCTAATCCATGGGATTGAATTTCCATGCACCTTCTTCTTCCTCTGCTTCATACTTTTGCATACTGAGGATCATAACAGTAACTAAACAGAAAAGTGACAAAAGGGGTTTTCTTTTTCCAGACAAGGGAACTCAATCATACTGTCATAGAAATGGCTTTTTGAGCTGACTGAGTGTTTTTCAACTATGGGACTGTAGTACTACTGGGAATTCATGGTATTTGGATGGTAAAGTAGAGTGCTAAATCACGATGGGACGGTAGCTGAGGCAGACAGAAGCTGCAGAGACACGTCGCTTTTTAACTTTGTTTGTAACCCATTACGATTCTCTCCCTCTTCATTATTGTTGTCTTCTCTTCTCTTTGGGCCTCTGCTGTTTCCCTCAACAACCATCGGTTCTTTCATTCGACTTGTAAAAATGAAGGAGGGAGGATGAATCCCTTGACCTAGCTAGCTCAGCTGATAGTGTTCATGGGAATGAGTTGGATGTTGGAACTATACATGAATTGCGATAAACCAAATAAAAGAAGTTGCCTGAAGAGGGGTTTTTTTTTTTTACAAAGGGATACTTGCATTGCACTTTGAATGATCGATTACAAGAGAACCAACAAAGCAAACCAAAAATAGAACAATGACAGAGAAACATAAGCACATAGATGCTCAATCAACGCTTCAGAGATACAACAAGAAGAGCACAAAACCTAGAAAGAGCCATCCAACAAAGGATCTGAAACACTTGAACCAAAATCAGTATACACCGAAAGTTCTCTTGCAATCAAAACAAACGAAGTAGCACCAAGCGCAAACAGCTCGTCCGATCCGACCGAGTCCATGACGATTAAACACAATGTCATTAGCCGCCTCCTGGGAGTCGCTCGAAGACGCTCAACACAGTGAACCACGGGTGAGAGATTACATGGCGGTGGACAGAGATTAGGATCGAAATGCTCCGAGCTTAAGAGGCAGGTGGTGACGAGGCTCCAAGACTTGTTCAAGGGAAGCAGAAGAACCCATATCCCCCGATCAAAGAACTGAACCCACGAGCAGCAAGGCTAGACACTGCAATCCATCCTCTGTCGGCCACCTAGATGCAGAACAACCACCTGGGAAGAACGAAGGGGAAAACCAGAGAATCGATTCACCACAAAAGCTATTAAACCAACCATCATGAGAGAAGACCCAAGATGCATAACCCAGCCCCAAAGGAGAGCAAATCCCAGCCAAAAACCCTAGAACAGGGGAGCGAAATGCCAAG